AAAAAATTAAGGCGGGCCGTAATACGTTACGACTAAACTTGTGCAGGCCGAAAGATAATGGACAGGGGGGGGGGGAGGGAGCTATTAAGATAATAAGAATAAAAATGCTATTTCGTTACTTCGCGGGCCGCAAAGTGGGTGATGTTGGATCGCATGCGGCCCGCGGGCCGTATGTTATTCAGGCCTGTCATAAATAATATGCTTACAAGTTTAAAGGTCATTCTTTCAAAAAAAAACACAAAGCTTTTGGTGCGCACCAGCCCGTGAATAGCTCGTCTCATTTCCCGCACAACTTCGCACCAGCAGAACGATTGAAGAACATGGGTGAGAAATCTGAACACTTGAAAGTTCGGGAATGACAATCTTTGAGGTGGATGTCCTACTTGATGTTTGTCATTGGTCCCTAGCTCCTTGCGAAAGGTAACTTCGTCAGGTCGAGTGGTTGCGCGGGATTTTTCCCAACTAGTATGTAACTACTTTATGAACATAACCTGGTTTGAAGTCAGCGTCGTAGTACTTTAGTTTAAGTTGTATAGTACTTTATCCGCCTACTTCAATAACAGGCCACGAAATATTGCAAATCCCCTCTTAATGCACAGGAACCAGAATGATCAATACGTTGATCGTGGGTCCTTAATATAGAGAAGAAGAAGAAGAAGAAGAGAGAAGAAGTTCACTTTATGGATAAAATGATATAGAGTATAGATGGACTATAACGTTATATGAGATTCAATTTGGTGTAAGTGTAAAAGGCAAGAATTGTTTTCTTTTATGAATCATTCACATAATCTGGTTTTTTTTTAACACCGTATAAGTAAAGATGAGGTTGATTATTAAATCCCATAATCAGGTTTTTTGTTTAGTGTTGCCTTGAATTTGTCTATATTTTTGTTTTTCAAGTTGTGTGCAGTTACACGCCCAAATAGCTAGTCATTGTTTACATTCCATCATCCCCTGCTTGTGGTGGGGCGGGGGGGGGGTGGGGGCGGGGCATCTACTGCAATCACATATGATAACGAGGCCGGCTCGTCCTCCCACATTCCCTTTAATTCATTTTCTCTTTTCAATTTCAATTTTTTTTTTTTTTAATGTTTTCAGACAATAATTTCCCTTTAAATCTAGTATTCTGTAAAATAATATATCACGACAATACTGCTTATTTGATATACTATCGTTTCAACAGACAAAGTCTGGCTTGGGCGCTACCCCGCGTCAGCTCCCCACGCTGCACATCAAGACAAGTCCAGCACCACCGCGAAGGGCCCACTTCAAATCTGATCAAATAACCATAACTCGAAGAAAGAACAACGCCAGCACCTAGCCTCAGTTGTCTCCCCTGCCTCAACCGTAAAAGATGTCTGTATTCATTGACGTGCCGGTGGACATTGTAACAGGGATCATAGGTTTCATCGTCAAGTTTCTTGGCATGGTTATGGTGGCGACCAAAGAGATCGCCCTCTTTCAACTTGGCATCATGAAGACGCTCATAGACTTCTTCTCTGGGATATTCAGCTAGAGTCTTATCAAGGATTTTGAGTTAAAATCTTATCAAGGGTATTCAGTTTAAAATGTACCAAGGGTATTGGATCAAAATGTCAGCAGAGGGATTTGCTTAAAATATTATCAATGATATTAGTTGAATAGTATCAGGGATATTTAGTTATAATGTTGTCATGGAAATTTAGTGAAAATATTGTCCCTGATATTTAGTTAAAATGTTTTTAGGTCAGGTATATTTCGTTTTTTTTTTTTTTTAATTTATATCCAGCATTGTTCCACTTATCTCCATCTACATAAATTACAACAGCAACAAAATGTTATGTAATGGATAACTCAAAGAAGTAACTAAAACCCAGATCGAACAATTAGTTATAATGTTCTCATGGAAATTTCGTGAAAATATTGTCCCTGATATTTAGTTAAAACGTTTTTAGGTCAGGTATATTTGGTTTTTTTTTCTTTTTAATTTATATCCAGCATTGTTCCACTTATCTCCATCTACATAAATTACAACAGCAACAAAATGTTCTGTAATGGATAACTCAAAGAAGTAACTAAAACCCAGATCGAACAAGAATGCCTGGCTTGTCTTTTCAAAGTTTGTTCAGAGTTTACAACAAATTAAAATAAAATAATTAACGATATTTAGTCTTGACTTCATGCTATAAATAAGCCTAACACCCCCACGAAAATGATGTCATCAACATACGTCACACCCGTATTGATCGCGCGTTCGATATCAATAAATGGGTTATGATGCTGTCACGACTATGGTACACAAACGGAGAGAATGACGTCATTAACGCTGTAGCTTAAAATAAATCCAACTAATAAAATTGATATACAATGGTGTGATGTTTGCTTCAGCTTGTTTTTTTTTCCTTTTCAGTAAGGGGGTTTTTATACGACCATTATTTGTATGACAGAGTTGTGTAGAGCAGAGTTGTGTTGGGAAAAGTTGTCAGTATATATATACTAAATTATTTACTAAATACATTATAAATTATAATATATATTTATATATATATCGTGTGTGAATGTATGTTTGTGAGAGATTATATCATTGATTACCTACTGTGGCAGGGTCGGTGGGGCTCCATCTCAAGGCTTTTCTCGGTGAAACCTTTTCTTTGCACGGTCCAGGTAACAGCACTTTATTAATTAAAAGTGTTTGCAACAGGATTTTGTCGTTTGGTTCGTTTTGATTGTTTATATTTTTAATGGCTCTGAGCCGAAGGGATTGTGGGTAATTTATCAAAATTTATTTTATAAATCATTAATTATTTTGTTAGTTTAAATTTGTCACGATTTTCATAATAATGTTTAACCAAAAAAAGAAAAAGAAAAAAATCAAAAACAAAAATACTTGAAATATTTTATACAAACCTACCCATTCGTCTTTTAACGTAAAAAAAAAAATAGCAATTTTCGCATTCATTTTTAAAAGAGACGAGAATACACGTTTTTTTCCATTAATTAACATGTTTTAGCGAAAGTCATTTAAATCTTTGTTCTTTTCAAATTCTTTTATATTAGTAGATCTGCAAAACTCTGACAAAAATTGAATCTTACATTCAAAGGGGCTCAACTAAAATAAAACTGAGGGGATTTAAATAAAATAATAATGTTCTCCCATTACGCCGGAAATGTGTAATGCGCATGTGTAGGTATGTAACTAAGGAAACTCGCGAAGGTATCTAAGTTGGCTCAGCCTCAGATATCGCAAACCAAAGCTATCTGAAAGGGATTTTGACGGCAGTTACAAGATTCTTTCATACTATCAGTATTAAAAATGGCGATGCAGGTGGAAGGGCCGTTCGACTATACAGCAACGGGCACTTTGGGTGACCAGAGAAATTCTATGCTTCAAAATGAACTTCACCTTCGGGTAGGAAATGTGGCGGCGGAAGTAGAAAATTACGTGCAGATTCGAGTCAACTTAGCCCTTAAGTCTTGATTATTTAAATTATACGCATAAAAGATTTTGTAAATATAATTCTCCTTGTTGGAAATTTTGTGTATGTCATTTCATATTTATTCTAGTTTATTCAAATATTTCTTTGGTTTGGTCTTGGAGCTCGCTAGTGGAGAGTTAATTACTGATTATGATGATAATGAGTATGAGTTAAGAGTTCTCAGTACTGCAAGTGTGACTTTCAATGATTGTTTAAAGAGAAATATAAAGTGAAGGGTATGGAAACAATTAAGAGAAGAACAAAAGACACAAGAAACCCTTTTCTACCCCCTTCAGTAAAGGGGAAGGCCATCCAAAAATTTGAGTCAGTGGCACAAATTGAAGTTGTGTGGCATATGGATTTTGAAAAAAAAAAAAAAGAACAATTTGAAAAATTTAGACAATCCGTACCTTGGCTGCCATCCTGCTTGCCACTACCCGTAATAGGTCACCCTAACTAAACCTAACCCTAGCCTGAACCCTAAACCCATTTAGTTAAATAAACACTTAAAATGATGTCATGACGCACATTTTCTGCTTTAGCCAAAAAGGTAAATACCTTTTTACAAAATAGTGGCATTAATTTTGCAGTCTTTAAGTACTACTATACTACGACTTCTATGCTTACCTTTCATCTTCAAAACACATCAATACATTGTAACAATAAAAGAATTCATTTTCTTTAATGAACTTTTACATAGCGCCTATAATTCTATATTTTCATTATAAAGTTTCCAATCAAACCATTTGCTTACAGGTGATACGAAAGCCTAATTTATGACCATTTTAATTTAACAAATATTATTAATTTATATTAATTTACATATGTTAAAATGTTGTTTCTCTTTAGAATAAAGTAGGCCATATAAAATCCAGAGGATTTCATCTCCCAGAGAAAGGGTTCACATATGGCTTACCAAATGACAGAAGAATCTACACGGCAGCAGATGGTGAGTAAATATCTGTGTTAAGTCTTAATTTTTTTACCTGATCATTTTCTGAATTCATTCCATCTTTCCCTTTTCAGTAATTTCTTTTCTCTTATGGAAAATATGTATTTAACACAATTCAGGCCTCAGGTTTTCTGTGATTTTGTATTCAAGTTGTTTTCTTGTAAATTAAATCTGGAAGCTTTAAAGCCTGCCTGCAAGCGGAGAAAGTTGGATCATACTTTTTCTAGCAGAGTTCTAATATTTCAATAAAATCTTTACCATTACTTTTTTCCCCAGTGGTTATTTTTTTTTTTTAGCTTTAAATCTTGTTTTTAAATATGGCATTGGACTCACACATTGTGTAAAATAAGTGGTCATAAAAAGTTGAATAGAGTCCTAAATCCCACCCTAAACTGGCAGTGAATGTGTGGCCTTTAGGCCGTCTTGCTTGTGAACTGACACAGTTTATCCTTGTATCCTTCTTGTGCTGTCCTAGCAGCCTGGAAACTCTCTCATAATAGTCTGAATTCTGATCCAGCTCTTCGTGGATGGACGGGCACATACCTGCCCAAAGGTGGTGCAACCAAAGTGAAAGCAGCATCTGAAAGAGACTTTTTGACCATGAACAAGATGGCAATCACAAATGGTCTTGTCCGCACAGAAGAACAGGCAGACTATCGGGCTGTTCATGACATCCGTAGGCTTCCATTCAACAAAAAGGAAATGGCTGGGAAAATGAGGACAAGAAGACTGCCACCAACAATGGTTTTTGGTATACCCAGTAGGTCAGTGCTTATTACCCAGTAGGTCAGTGTTTATTACCCAGCAAGTTAATATTCATTGGTATACCCAGTAGGTGATTGTTTATTGGTATAGGTAAACACTGACCTATTGGTGTACCCAGTAGGTCAGTGTTTATTACCCAGCAAGTTAATATTCATTGGTATACCCCAGCATGTCATTGTTTATTGGTATACCCAGTAGGTAATTGTTTATTACCCAGTAAGTTTATTTTTATTTGCATACCCAGTAGGTCAGTGTTCATTACCCAGAAGGTCAGTGTTTATTGGCATACCCAGTAGATCAGTGTTTATTACCCAGTAAGTTTATACTTATTGGGATACCCAGTGGGTCAGTGTTCATTAACCACTAGGTCAGTGTTTTTTGGTATACCCAGTAGGTCAATGTTGTGTAGTATACACAGCGGGTCAGTGGTCATTGCTCAGCAAAGTAAACAAAAGTCTATGAAAATCATATAAGAAGCAACTGCTTTAATTTAATGATAATGGATTAATCATTTAGCAAAAGAGTGAGTCATGTGTATGCTGTGAGAGGGAGACTGTCCACACAGATAGGGAGACTGTCCACACAGATAGGGAGACTACCCACAAAAATAGGGAGACTGTCCACATAGGGAGACTGTCCACACAGTTAGGGAGACTGTCCATAAAATTTGTTATTGTTGCTATGCCATATGGAATTTTTGTTGTTATAAAACTAAAATCTAAAATTGCCTGAGAGCACATTTCTTTGTTTCTTCATTTTTAAATCGGTGATTCACATACAAATTTATACCTTAGCCATACATCATGCTTCCATAATATATGATAGTATTTTTTTTTAATTGTATGTATCATATCAGGTTACAATTGTTTGCTATGAAAAGCTACGACTATGTCTTTAATAACACAGGCCATCCACACCCATCTATGATCTGATGGAACACAAGTACCAAGACAAATGGCTCAAAGAGAGGCAAAACACACTCAGTGCCAAGAGGCAAGCCGACACCAAGGTAGATAACTCATCTTTCTTTCAAGAGTTGTCATGTTGCTGTGAATTTCTGATTCAGTCTATCTCAATTCTTGTTTATAGCGCGTGTGTGTTTGTTGGTTCATTTTTTTAACATTCTATTTTAATGTTTGCTATTGGCTTGAAATAGCCAGTAACATCCCTTTCATTACTAGACCTTGTACACGTAATTCAATTTTTTTTACAAAATTGAGGTTAAGAAATTATAAGAAACACAGACAGATAAACAGGTTGTGTAATACAGATAGATAAACAGATGGTGATAATACAGATAGATAAACAGATTGTGATAATACAGATAGATAAACAGATTGTGATAATACAGATAGATAAACAGATTGTGAGAACCAAAAATGACATATGTCATGAAAGCTTTTTATCTATATATTTTTTTAAATCTAAGATTTCAATTTAATAACATGCATTTCACAGATTTATTATAAAAAAAGGCTGAGTATTAAGAAATAAGTTTTAAATTATAATTGGGTTCTTGCATCAATCTATTTATAATAATATGTGCCTTTTCATTGTGAATATGAACAAACCATTCCTAGATTTGATCCAACATTCTCTCAAAGAACCAGATATAGGTTATATCCAACATCCTTCCAATGAACCAAACAGAGATAATATCCAACATTCCCTCAATTAACTAGACACAGATTATATCCAACATTCTTCAAATGAAACAAACAGAGATTATATCCAACATTCTTCAAATGAAACAAACAGAGATTATATCCAACATTCCCTCAATTAACTAGACAAAGATTATATCCAACATTCTTCAAATGAAACAAACAGAGATTATATCCAGCGTTCTCCCAAACGAACCAGACATAAACTTGATCCCAACATTCATTCTGAGTTGATGCACCATTATTTTATTTCTTTGTTACAGAAGAGAGCTATGTCAGCTCCTGTAGTAAGTTATTTTCATTGATTATTTTTATACTGTTATTTTGGTACTAGTTCCATTTCATCATTTTTTTTTAAAATGGCTATTACATATTCTCTTCTATTTTGTAGATCAGTTTTTTTTAACTCTTTTCTCCCAATTTGATTTTATTATTTTCATTAATTTCTTATAGTTTTGATGAATAATGGGAAGAAAGTGCTTTTTATTAATCTATAAATATACAGCATAAATATTTCCCTTAATCTTTAAGCCTGTAATCCTGTAATGTCTTGATATGTGTTGTGTCATATCCAGACTGTTGCTTGACTTTTAGAGCCCACTTCCACTTCAGTGCTATTTAAAATAATTTCCAGTAATTTTTTCTTTACGTATAACTTTGGGTCCTTTAGATATCCAAGGCTCCCTGCATATGCAGGGATTGTACGGCCCACGTGGTGGCTGTGGTATTATTGATGTAGCATCGAGCCATGTGTAGTGTCAATGTTATTTTTGTGACGTTAAATTGACAAATGAAACCTCACTTATGTGTATTCTCTCAGCCACCACTTCAACATTCCTGTCAACTAATCTTTAAGGAAAGAAATAAAAGCATTGGGATGAAGATGAAGTAGACTATTTATTATTGCCAAGTGCCATTTTTATGACAAGTATCCCCTTTTTTATAGCCATTTTTAGTGTCAGTGGTGTTGTTGTAGATAGAATCTATTACGAAATCCCTTATTGTTTAATGCTATTGATAAGCTACATTATATAGACAATCTACATAAATGTCACTAATGCTCTGATCAACAATTTTTCTGACACCACCTTGTTTGATGTGCCCAAGGAAACACAATATATAAGAAACTAAAATAATTACAGATAATTTATTATTTAAATGTAATGTGAAATGTGCAACATAATTCTTCAATAAATACCAGCTCAATGAATGTGTGTACAATCAGGCTGAATTATAACACAAGCAAACGCTACACCTAGTTAATAGTGGATTCCTGGATGCCTGTTATGTCTTCTCTACCTCTTGGTCTGTTTTAATGTGACCCTATTGTGTGTGCTTGTGACTTCTTTTTTTTATGGCCTGTGGTCACAAATTGTTGGCATCTTTCTACTGTAAACACAGCTACACACTTGTAAGGAAATATCTTGACCAACATTAGAAAATGTGAGTCTTCCTGAAGTAAATTAGAAATGGCCTACACTACATAATACTATACAAAACCCTACCATCTACTTACCGTCGCTCTCCCAGTTTATCACTAAATAAGTCTACTATGTACATCTATCAGTCACCTCTTACTCACATAATCTCCCTTACAGCTTCTACATTCTAACATTGTATATCCACTCAGAGGTGTAGCGAGGTGGGGGCAGGGGGGGGACAGATGTCCCCGGGTGCAAGCTAGTTAGGGGCGCCAAAATGTGCTTTGATATTATATGACTGGTAAAACTTATGGGTTTGAGAGTTGGATAAAAGAAAAGGGGGCGCTTTAAGATGGATCTTGTCCCCGGGCGCGAATCTTGTCCCCGGGCGCCAAACACCCTCGCTACGCCTCTGTATCCACTCATCTCAATGTGGAATTGTGTGGCATGAAGTGATGCGAAGCTATAGGTCTAAATCTACAGACATGAAGAAAGTTTCATACAAGCTCTGCAGGACAGTGATCATTGAAGGAACTGAATTTTGTCTGGGTTATATACCAGAGTGTCCCCTGAATGTCTTCCCACTATGACACCTCCCAATCGCCAATGTCCCCATGGATTGTAATTAAAGTCCGCCATCTTTCCATAACAAGTGCTGCCCCCCCTCCCCCCACAAGTCAAAGATCAACCATACGTGACTCTGTGAAGGCTGTGACCCATCTACACTCCTACCCCCATACCATGTGATCATTGACTTTTCATAGCCACTCTCCCACGACAGATAGACCTGGTTTTAAGTATTGGACCATGCTGTTAAAGACCATCCTGTGACATCTGGTTATGACTCATGTTGGTAATGTCATGTGTTAAAATCCCCAGACTGGTCAAATTTGAAGAGGACTACATGAATATATGAACTGTCAGCACATGACTATATTACAATTTCAACATATAATTAGTAGACCACAATATTCCTAAGAATATATTGGCTTGGATTTTTTTTTTTTAATTCAATTTTCAGAGGTCTTGTTTATTACTAAGAAATCTTTGAACCAGTTTTTCTCTACTAAATTGGACTACTAACAATTTATACAAGCATTTTTAAGGCATTATTTATTTTCTTTAAGAATTAGCTTACTTATAGTATTTATTAATTTTGGATCTAATTCTTTGGAAAATTATTGCAAACCAATTGCATTATGATATACATCAATGACATATCTCTACTTTCAGGGACCTCGTAGCCATGGTATTGTGTATGAGACAAGGGCAACAGTCTTGAGAACCTACCAAAACCCAGTTGAGCCCCCCCCACTCTGGCAGTTGCCGAGGTTTACTAAGTCGGTGAGAACCTCTCCATAATAATAGAATATAATTGTTATGTGCAAGATTCAACTTCTTTAACTTAATTGTTTATACTACATGTACACAGGGCTGTGACAAGCATGAATAAAGAAGCCCATCTCAAAAATATATATAGGCTACTGATATACATATTTTGCGGGAAAACGTACAATTTCAGTGCTCTCTGGAGTTTGATGCCCTGGTGGATTTTCCCCCTTCGTCTTCCCCCACCCACTTTTTTTTTGCAAATAAAATATGTATGATTAATAATTTTGTTCTCTCAGTGAAACAATCTTAAATTTTTAACAATAATTCTCCCCCAGGCTCGGCCCCAGGTTCAGAGTTTTCGAACAGATCCAGAGAAGTCTTTGGCGTTTAGGTACCAAGAAACAGATAAAATTGATCGCCAAGGAGATTTCGGAACAGGAATTTATGAGCTTCCAAAGAACTGAAAAAACTGGTTTGAATGTTTGATTTGAATGTCAATAATTTTTTTGATTTTTAAATTTATGTTGATGAAATCATTGGCTGTTCTTTGTATTTGTTGATAAGCAATGAAATATTTGTAAAACAAATCTGTGATAGTTGTTGCCTTTCGCTTCTTTTTTCCCAAGAAATTTGATGATCTGAACAAAATTTGGCTTTCTTTTTAAGTTTAACTATTTAAAAATGATTTTTATTTATTCTCGGATCAATTTTTTAAAGAATTATAAAAAAATATTTTGAAAAATAAATAGACTGGAGAACATGCTTGGATATAAACTTCGGAGATTGTCGTGTATGGGCAATGTTGATGGATGCCCATCATGGCACAAAAATTAACTTCAGCATTGTCTTTCTATGCACGTTTTCTGTACAACATTGTTATCTTTACACTACATCTATAAATGTTATTATTTTTTCGGTCAGCATATTTTTAAATGCAATTTTTATAGTTATCTGTAGATGTGTTACTTACATGTTGTTTACATCAAGTTAAAAAAATGAAGAAACCATCTGACTGGTGTGAAATAAAACAGTTCTAATTTGTGAGAGAAAGAAACATTGAGCTCTCCTTTATTAAACATCTTTTAAAAAAATGGGTAATTTGGCTTTGTATGTTGCTGTGATAAATTTGGCTTTAATTAACATTAAAAAACTTGAAATCCTGTTGATATTTAATGTTAAATATCTCTGGGCTTAAAACGATCACCTTTTAATCACATTTAACATTATTATTTATTTTGTTTAAAATAAATGGATGTTTTTAAATCTCAACCTTCACTTGAAGATCTTTATGATAAAACAAATGTAAATAGCTTATCAAGAGCAATTTACAGGAGACTAAAAATATTTTTAGCAAAAGTGTGAACTGAGCTTTAGGGTCAATCGGGTCAAAGTTCACAAAATTCTATTAATGTAAAATACAAGAAATAGGAACTTAATAGCAAAAACATTTTTTAAAAGAAACTAATTTTGCCTTCATTTTCAAAAATGTATAATTATTTTCAAGGACTCCGACAGCCTCATGAAACATATTTTATTTAATTCGCTAGAAAATCTCAAGGCCAAGCCATATAACTGTATATCTAGTCTAGACACAATCTTTACTCAGTCTATATAATTGGCAACCATCTTTTTTTTCAAATTTTTAATGTTCCATTTTAGTGAATATTTTCATATTAAATTTTTTCTTGTTGTAATTTGTGTGCTACTTGTATATTTTGAAAAGTAACAGAGATTGATTTTTTTGTGCATTTGAATATATTTTCATAAACTGCTTGATATTTTAAATGAAAGACATTTGTAAGAAAGGGAGAGAATCAAAGTAGTTGCATGTTGGAGAGTGGCTTTTTAAAAATAAATATCAAATTGTTTTGTTTCTTTTAATAAAACTGAAAACAGTGAATGTTCCTTTAGCATGAATGATAATTTTTGTTTCAAACAGCTTAGATAAAGCAGATGTAAAAAAAAATGCATGCACCTATTTAGGGATAATGGAACAAATGAAATTTAAAAAATTTAATCTATTTGTATCACGATTTGAGACTTATTCGAGACTGTCTATTGTGAGGGTGTGTGTGGGTGCAAAAGAAACAAATCTTGTTGTTGTTATTGATTGTGTCATCTGATGTGATAACGTATGACTTGCTAATTTGCTTTATGTTGTTCTAAACATAACCATCTCACCTCATAACTCAGCGTATGAAGAAAGGTTATTTTTAGATGTCTGGGATTATTGGCCTGTATTTCAGTTGTCATGGCGACTGATTCCATGTTTGATTTTATTAATGCAATTGATGTTTTGATTAGTTTATGTTACAGTATCTGAAAACACACTCTAATTTTATGCAATGCTCAGTATTATACTAGATATTGTTTTTGCCCAAGGGTTCTTAACCAAGTCGATCCATGGATACATTTTACTTTTAGAAAAGGAATGGTTTGGGGTAGGGTGGAGAGGTTAATAGAGCCTTCTTGACTCAGGCCGTAATTACGTCTAGCGTGTGTGGAGTCACTCTAAATGGGATGTTGATATGGACACAAAAAAGGGCTAAGAACCACTGGTACCAACAATTTAATGTGGCAAGAGAAAACAAAAGCACGCCTTGACATGAGCACATGTGTAGTGTGTTCTTGGACAGCATTCAACAATCAGCATTAGTGATTGGAATTCCTGTTTGGTGGATCACTGAATATATCACTTCACCAAATGTAACCAGCATTAAGTTCAGTGTTGTGTGTGACCCATTCATAATCATTGTAGCCTGACTCTTTGGTGTTTTAGACATAGCTCATGTAGTAATGAGATGGAATTTATTTTTGTCAGCAGGGTTCTCAAAATTGCTAGATCAGGAGCTACCATCCAAATTGATGACATGCTTATAAGTCTATGACTAAATATGGGTGGGAGTGAGCCTCATCAAATAAAATGATACGCTTTACAAATGAACAAACAGGTCATTATTCAGGGTAATGTCTAGTGATAAGACTATTTCAGCACAGATGGCTGTGAAAAATTTGTATTTATTTTTTTTTAAATTAAATATATTTTAATTGTAATCTTGCAATAAAATGTAGAATTGGAAAATATTAATTAAAAAAAAAAAAAAATTGGCCTCAAGCTTGAGTCGCACAATTGCCATGCCAAACTTTGTTTAGACTGTTTTTTAAAAACAATTGTTAGTTGAGATTTAACAATTATTTTATCTATACCATTTTGATGTAGAGGCAAACTTCGTGTAGAAGTTACTATTTATTGGCCCTTTGTAAATATAACTTTTACATTTAGTATAAAGTATGTGCCTTTTATGGCTATCTCTATGTCCCTACTCTACACAAAGTTTCACTAACGTGTTTACATTTATTTTTGTATGCACTAAATGTCTCTTTACATGTCTATGCACTAAATGTCTGTTATGAATATATTATGTGTATGCACTAAATGTCCATTTACATTCGTGTTTGCACTAAATGTCCATTTACATTTGTGTATGCACTAAATGTCTGTTTAAATATGTGTATGCACTGAATGTCTGTTTACGTATGTATATGCCAGACCTGTTTACCCTAAAACCCTTAAAATCATACCAGATCACAAAATCATTAAATACATTATCTTAATGGTAAAAAAAATTAACATACAGTATATATAATGTATACACCTCAAAATCGCACATTGTACGCCAAAATCATAAGAGTAAACAGGTCTGGTATGCTGTACATCCACCACAGACTGCTAAAAAGGAGCATTGGCGTTAAGATTCTTCAAAGCTCTACGTACAATGATAACCATCTCCTGAAATGTTATTTTTAAAATGAGCAAATGACAGGAAGATTTTGGTTGGAGAGTTTGTGTAACTGTCACAATTACAGTTTGAAAATAAAGGAATTTAAATAGTATTAATATTAGTTGTATATTTTTTTTATTCTTAAGTGTCATGATGGCTGCTTTTTTTAATGTATTTGTCTAATCTCTGATTTTTAAGTTTTGATGTGTAGCAGAACTATGAAGTATGAAGTCATTGGTTGGCTAAACATTTGACAGTAATGCTAATAGGCTGTCTAGAAATGATGTAATAAATAGTCTAGAAATATAAGGTAATGGAACATATAGAAATATGAGCTGATGGATTGTGTAGAAATATGAGGTGATTGTGTAGATATGAGGTGATGGATTGTGTAGAAATATGAGGTGATTGTGTAGATATGAGGTGATGGATAGTGCAGATATATGAAGTGATGGATTATGCAGAAATAAATGAATTATTTATTTATTTAGGCATTTTTATATAGCGCTTACCTTAAAGCTCTAAGCGCTTTACAATTATTAAAAACATGTAAACTAAGTAAAATAAAAATGAGACACTAGGATAGTAACTACTATACTATAGAAACAATTAAAATGGCTATACTATAAAACGAGGACACTTTGGCAAGATAAAAAATATCACCTTTAATGTACCCACATGACCAGCATTACATAAACGAGGTAAAATAGTGATCTAAAAATAACACTCGGGCAATAAATTGTCCCATTAATTTGCAGATCTATATATAGAGACAAAGTGTATATCTCTATATAGAGAAAAATATTGTATTAAAAAAACATAAAGTAAAGTATAGAATATCAAATATTGTGATCATGAAATGGATTTCAAATTGAAAACATGGCTTTAAAATACTGATGGAACAATTTTAATAATTTATGGAAAATGTTTTCTCATTAGAATTAGATGGGGGGTAACTCTGGGTATGTATAAATGGCCGTTTTGTCAGAAACATCAAATCAAATGTGTATAGAATTCATAGTATAAGTAAGTATTTACATACATCAAATAAAAGTGCCAGTACTTTTGATAAGTAATGTTAAACAAAAGAAAATTTACAAGTACATAAAATAATAACATGCCTGCTTTTACTAACAAATTTTATCAACAGGTTTTGTTTGATCACAACAGTATAACAAAATTATTCTCTTGATGGCCCTGAATCTGAAGACAAAAGTAGATTGAAGTCGTTTAAAATAATGGGTCTGACTTTGAGTCAGTAACATCCATTCCTTGTTTTCACCAACTGTGCCAACGCAAGCATATCGCCATCTCAGCTGGTGTTATTACAGCATGAAACATACAAAATAAAAAAACGATTTTAGAGTATGCTCCACTTAAATTTTGCCTATGTCCTAAGTTACAGTTCTCTTTTCAGGCTTATCTCTTTTCTTAACTTTTGTTGACCAGAGAAGGCCTTCAGCTGAAAAGTTGGACTCAATGTTTTGTTCTGTACAATGTTTCAAAGTTTTCCTTTTTTTTCCCCCCCCTCTCTAAATTGTTGCCTTGCCTGGAAGGTGCAAACAGGTATGTAAGAGAGCTAGTTGGAATGTTGGATTGGAAGCTTTCGATTCAGTGAAGCTAGCTATATCGTTGTTTTTATTGTTGTAATGTCATCTTTGTATGTCATCGGGTATCAACGTCTCAGAGATCTTCTGGGGATACATGTTCTAGGGCAGTGGTTCTCAACCTTCTTAATGCAGCGACCCATTAATACAGTTCTGCATGTTGTGGTGACACCCAACCATAAAATTATTTTCTTTAATATCTGTAGAGTATATGTGTCTTCTGGTGGTCTTATGCAACCCCTGTCAAAAGGGTCGTTTGACCCCCCAAAGGGGTAGCGACCAACAGGTTGAGAACCAGTGTTCTAGGGTGTATCAAATTACTGGGCCACATAGATCTACCGGGTAGATCCATGTTCTAGGGTGTTCAAAACACTGGGCCACATAGATCTACTGGGTAGATCCATGTTCTAGGGTGTATCAAAACACTGGGCCACATAGCTTTGATGAAAACAAAGGTTGGATGGGGCCCATACAAACTATTACAAAATCAGGGACTGGATTTAAGAAGTGAATAGACTGGAGGTCAATGTTTGGACATGTATGATAGGAGGCTTCAACATCTTCATTCAAATAAATTAGATTCTTTTGTTGTGGAGATCAGCTGACATTTATGTATACAGCACTGTCACAAGAATGTCTCCCAAGACATTTCTTGAGTTTCCAGTTTGTGAACCACTGCACTAATCATTAGCCTACAATTCACCATTCATGATGTTCTAAATATAGACCTCCTCGGGGTAGCCATTGTAAACAATGTTGAAGATGACCGTGCCACCAACAAACATAAGGAAGATGAACAAGGCCATGAACCCTGACCTGTCCTGCCACGGAAGCCGTTTGATGTCCTTCAGGAATGGCTCAGCAATGACCAGACCTGACAGAGGAAATGAAATCATATAAGGTAACTTTTTGAATAAGGTCATTAAATTTTTTTTTAAAAACAAAGTCAGTGGCAACTTTTCATGCCCCCCCCCTTTTATATGTGGACAGACATGAAGATCAGGGTCAATTAAATCTGTAATAAGTTCAAGGCTATTTCCATCTTCATTAAGGCCAAGCTAATTTCAATCTGCATTTCAAATAGATCAAAACCATAACACATTATTTACTGCAGTGAAAAATAGTAATAAGATTAGGGAGCATCCACACAGTGTGTACTATATGGATGGCCCCTTGATTGCCTGATCAACAACATGTGTACTATTATATATGGATGCCCCTTGATTGCCTGATCAACAACATGTGTACTATTATGGATGGCCCCTTGATTGCCTGATCAACAACATGTGTACTATTATGGATGGCCCCTTGATTGCCTGATCAACAAGATGTGTACTATATGGATGGCCCCTTGACTGCCTGATCAACAAGATGTGTACTATTATGGATGGCCCCTTGACTGCCTGATCAACAACATGTGTACTATTATGGATGGCCCCTTGACTGCCTGACCAACAACATGTGTACTATATGGATGGCCCCTTGACTCCCTGATCAACAACATGTGTACTATACTTGATTGGCTGAAAAACATGTGTACTATTATGGATGGCCCCTTGACTGCCTGATCAACAACATGTGTACTATTATGGATGGCCCTTTGATTGTCTGATCAACAACATGTGTACTATATGGATGGCCCCTTGACTGCCTGATCAACAACATGTGTACTATATGGATGGCCCCTTGACTGCCTGATCAACATGTGTACTATTATGGATGATCCCTTGATTGCCTGATCAAAAACATGTGTACTATTATGGATGGCCCCTTGATTGCCTGATCAACAACATGTGTACTATTATGGATGATCCCTTGATTGCCTGCTCAACAACATGTGAACTATTATGGATGATCCCTTGATTGCCTGATCAACAAGATGTGTACTATTATGGATGGCCCCTTGACTGCCTGATCAACAACATGTGTACTATTATGGATGGCCCCTTGACTGCCTGATCAACAACATGTGTACTATATGGATGGCCCCTTGACTGCCTGATCAACAACATGTGTACTATATGGATGGCCCCTTGACCTCCTGATCAACAACATGTGTTCTGTATGGTATTCACAGCAATGAGTGACCCATGCACAGGATCAAGACTTGATGACACATTGGGCGTTCCCTACCAATTAATAGTTGATAAATAGCCTCCTAAGTCACCACACAAGTGGTTGAAGTGAAGTAGCCTACCTGCCAGTAGTCCAGAAATGTGGGCGGCTATTCCAACCCTGACGTGGATGGGGTCAAGGAACCAGCGTCTGTACACAGCCAGGGAGACTTGGGGAATGACTGAAATAGTTAACAAAGAATCTGCAGGAATGTTCATAACAAGACTTATTCTCAAGTTTCATCAAGTAATAATAGTTAGGAAATACAATGAAACCTGGCCTGCCAGAGGAGATGTCTGACACACCTGGCCTGCCAGAGGAGATGTCTGACACACCTGGCCTGCCAGAGGAGATGTCTGACACACCTGGCCTGCCAGAGGAGATGTCTGACACACCTGGCCTGCCAGAGGGGATATCTGACACACCTGGGCTGCCAGAGGAGATGTCTGACACACCTGGCCTGCCAGAGGGGATGTCTGACACACCTGGCCTGCCAGAGGGGATGTCTGACAGAAGAATGAGGATCACAAACAAAATACCCCGTTCCTAACAAAAATAAATTTGTTTAAAATGATCAAGGTTCAGTACAGGTTCTATGATTAGCAACCTATAGTATCATGGACATTGAAAAGTTAACCCATTAAGTTCAATCCCAGTTTTTTGGAGATTCCCTATGACAACTATCCACACAGGTTGTTGTGCAAACACTTGCAGTCAAACTAAATCCCCAACACTCTCAGCACTAATTTGTAACCATGGGAATCAACAAATAAACCAACTCATGTATCAACATAAATAAACTAATTCATGTATCAACATAAATAAACTAATACATGTATCAACATAAATAAACTAATTCATGTATCAACATAAATAAACTAATACATGTATCAACATAAATGAACTAACTCATGTATCAACAACTCATGTATCAACATAAATAAACCAACTCACATATAAACATACATAAACCAACTCACATATCAGCAACATGAAACAGATGCGTAAAGGCAGGCTGCACAGAATTCTCCTGTTTCTTGAATGGGTCAAGTCGTCATTGAGACGAGTTCGGTCCTATAAATAGAAAAGGAATGTAAGGGTCAAACAATCGACAATGCTAACAGGTGATCTGCGGGAACTGTCATGTGTTATATTACAGGGAATCTAATTGATTTATTCAATAAGAAACATGTCAATGTACTTGAGATGAGGTCAAATAAAAAGGGAACATTTCAATTAGTACTGATATTATTTGATGTTATGGAACTTGTCTTTGCGCACTGAGGAAATTTGTTGTAAATGATAACGAACATGTAAATGTTGTTTGAGTCGATCAGAATGATAAGATGGTAAATGAGTCAATGTGTTCCGAGATATTTTGATTGGTATGACAGGGAACATGTCAAGTGTTGTTTGAGTCTATTTGACTGAGATGAGAGGGTACATGTCTATGTTCACTAGGCCAGAACTTACAGTCCACAACATCAAGCAGTGGGCAGCCATGATAGCATATGCTCCACCAGCAGCCCCGGCCAATCCTTCATAGTGGTCGGTCAGTGAATGACCAAGTGAGCCTGAAAAAGATGCAATGTCTTATACAAACTTTCATATTAATAATTTCATTAGAAAAGCAAGGCCGGAAAGTCTGCATAAAAAGTGTTGCAGTAAAGCCATGAAAAGTGTTGCAGTAAAGCCATGAAAAGTGTTGCAGTAAAGCCATGAAAAGTGTTGCAGTAAAGCCATGAAAAGTGTTGCAGTAAAGCCATGAAAAGTGTTGCAGTAAAGCCATGAAAAGTGTTGCAGTAAAGCCATGAAAAGTGTTGCAGTAAAGCCATGAAAAGTGTTGCAGTAAAGCCATGAAAAGTGTTGCAGTAAAGCCATGAAAAGTGTTGCAGTAAAGCCATGAAAAGTGTTGCAGTAAAGCCATGAAAAGTGTTGCAGTAAAGCCATGAAAATCAAAATGTATTTAAAAAATGAAAGTTGTCTTCTTTCTGCAAAAGGCGCAGTGCTGTGAATTGTTCACATCAATATCTGAACGGAATAAAAAGGTAAAATACTCAAAAATGCCAAGTGCTTTCTTTAATTATCTTCTAAGTGACTCATGAGATAAACAGGCTTGGAAAAAGTTCAGTCCATTAGAAGTCTATTAAGAGCTCCATAATCTATTTCAATATTTTAGGCATAATTTAACCAACGAACACTTAAAGATGATTTCAAAGTGACTCAACCCACCTGCCAAAATGCCCATGCACCAGACAATGGCCATCCTCCACCAGGAGAACATGATCTCTAGCGGCACTCCCAGGACAATTTGTAAGACAACATTGAAGATCAGATCGATAAACCTGTGACAAACATGGAAATAGTTAACTTTCCAGTTTCAATTGAACAGAGATAAATGTAGCTGAATAATCAAATTTAATTATTTTTTTGTACAGGAGGAATATTTAGTCTCTCGCCACTATTGTCTTATTAATTTGTTCATTTATGAAACTGTTGAAGAAAGCAGACCTGTTTACCCTCAAACTCTTAAAATCGTACAATGTCATCACAAAATCGTTCAATACATTGTCTTAATAGTAAAAACACAAACATCCAGTATATGTATAATGTATGCCTCTCAAAATCTTTATAGTAAACAGGTCTGAGAAAAGCACAGCTGCAAAAAAGGTTCAGAACCTTCCAGAGCCTCCTGGGAAAAACTTAACTCAATTACCAACATGTAACACAACCCACACAATGTGTGAAAAGAGGTTTACAAATAGTTCATCTCAAAATATCCCCTGGTGTAAAAGCCAGTAAGAGATACATTTAGTACATCATCGTACCCTCATGGTCTATGAGATAGTATGAAACCACAACCTACCCCTGGTGTAAGAGCCAGTAGGAAATATATCTCCATGCCTCGTGCCTTCTGTTAGGGTAGTACATGAGTTCGTTCTGCTGGCTTGCAATGCTGTCAAGAGCATCTGTGTACCAACCAGACTTTGATGTGTACACAATGTACACAATAATCTAGTGAACAAAAAAAAACACATTTCATTTTTTGGGTTAGCTGGCAATGCTATATAGGTCTTACGTGCTCAAATCTGTAGTTTGATGTGTACATTGCATAAACAATGGACAGAAACATGATTTATTGTTTACATAAAATGGCTGCACTGTAAGATAAATTAGTAAAATGTAGCTTGAAACTCATTTCACCTAAAACTGTCAGCTGATGGACATTATCTCCCTTATCTTATTACATCTATTTGTTACAATTGAAATACAATTTTAATCAATTTACTTAATTACTATTTTATGAAACCATGACCAATGTCAATTCAGACATTCTCAAAACTTATAAGTTCTACTCACCTGGGCAAGTGTAACACTGATCATAAAGAAAGGGGGAGGTAGACACTTGTATTTCACCAGGTGCTCGTCGACCATGAGCTGTTGAGTAGTATTTGTACACGCCACACTCAGCACTTCGGCAAACTTCCCCATAGATTTTTTCCTGTCTTTCAGTCCCCTCTGCGAGCCGTAACTGCTGCTGTCATCATCATTATGTTTACCCAGAACCTACAAGGAAATGAGGCCAGATTCAACTTTTTATCTTACCGTAACTTTTTGAGTAGAAGTCCATAGATTATGTAACTTTGTTGATTTGAATCTAAATCAATACAGTTTTAGTGGATAAAGAAAATTGTGTATCCTATGTTTTGATGTGAATATTTGTGAGCATAACTAAGCTTATGTTATTATGACATGCCCACCTGAAACCTAAAGATATAAAAACTTTGGTTTGTTCTCATGAACAATAAACAAGCTTCCAAAAATCAATAATTTAATTATCTAATTATAAAACATCCCTCAGGTGAATCTTGGTTGACCATTTGTAAGTACAGAGCAGCACATGAATATGCCTGTAACCACTGGACTGCCTGCACATCAAATGTGTTCTTTCATGCCGTAAAATTATCTTATCATTTCTGATTATACTATTAGAGCCACAAAGTATCTGATCCCCCCCCCCAACCACCACTTTTTATTCTCCAATAAACCATCAAATTCTACTTGAAAATCTTATCCATTAGGAAAATATCATTATGCAGTTGCATATTTTTGTTAGCCCCCATTCTTACTATATTGGAAAACTCTTCATATTTGATGGCCCTGCCCATGTTGAAGTCACACAGATCTGCCAACTCATGAACTTTATCAGGAGGGAGGCGGTCCCGATAGTCAGGGTTGAGGAGAACTCTCTTCAAATCATGGCAGGCAATTTTTTCACCGCCATAAACAAACTAAAATTAAACAAGAAAAATACAAGTTTGTTACAATTCTCACTCTGACTCTTGAAATTACACAAATAGAAAATTGTTTAAATGGTAGATTGAGGATAAAGGGCAGAGATGTTGTAAAAGTGACACTCTGATTGAGGGCGTATAGTATTAGAGAAAAGTAGGTCTAACAAAAAATGTTATGATTGAAAAATACTTTTTGTTTCACAGTTAAAAGCAGAATAAATGGTGTTTGAAGTGATAGAATATTCATAAGCTAGACAACATACAGTCCACTACACCAGCATTCCTCAAGGTCCAAGAAGTGGCCCCAGTCGACACAACATGAATATTTATGGTGAAATAAAAAGAAAATATAATAAATAAATCTGGCACTGGTCTCTGGTGCAATTTTGAAACTTGTACGCCAAAGTTAGAAGCTTGGGAAACGCTGCAATTCACAATAGTAAACTAAATACTACTTTTTAAAACTTTTAAGTTCAAGTTTTAAGTTAATTGTAGTGTAAGTGTAAAGGCTTCTATTTTTTTTTAAATTTTAAGTTTAAATTTCTTGTTGCGGCACTTCTAATTCTAGTTCCTTATAATTATATGACTGACTAAACTTAAACTATACTATTAAAGTTAAAGCTTTTAGCTTTAATTTTAATGACTTTATACTTTATTAAGTCACGTCATAATCATAAAATATTTTATCTCCCTTTACTTTCTTCCATTCCATAATGTATTTCATCATGCATATGCTTCAACTTACCTTCTGGAACAAAGGCCTGAAAAACTGAAATTAAAAAAAATATAGAAAATGTATAAATTATAAAATTATAATTTTGTTAGTAAACTTCACTTTACTCAGTGACTTTACTGTATCCACTTTCTTTACTCTTTAGTCTTTAAACTTAATGTCACTTAACTGACACTGAATGCTGCCAGCTGACATCAAATGCTGACATGCATGCTTAGTTAGTCAGAGTGAGTCATGCTCATTTCAATTCAATTAATTATTCATTATTTTATTTGTACAATCAAACGTAAAACTAATACTATACGAAATTGTTACTGACCACTTCTAGTGTCTGTCTTAGCTCCAGGTCCTCATTTCTCTTGTCCGTGAGGTCACCGTCCACTGTGAAGAAGGCACTACTGCCTGACCTGCTGGACTTATCTCCCAAAACTTGACCATAGCCAATTAACATGTCGCGCCATCTTGACCCCATTTCTGAAAACCAATGATAATTAGGATTTAACAGAACATGTTTTTAATTTTAATATAAATTTTATAAATCTCAAATAACAGAAAGGAAAATCCATGTTAGTTCGGCGGGAAACTTTAGAAATAAGTTGTGTAAATACATCATCATATCAAATTTCAAAGAAGTGGAACAATTATTATAGTAATGACTCGGACTCGGGTTTACCCACTTATTTAAATTTACAATTATTAATTAATGGTTTTTTGTGATAGTGGTTGTAGTAGAAGTAGTATTTGTATAATTATTAATGTTTATTGTGATAGTAGTAGAAGTAATATTTGTATAATTATTTTTAATCTATTCGGACCCGGGTCCTTTATGAAATAAATGGCTATTAAATTGTCATTTTTGGATGATTATTTTAGTTAAACTAAAGAATTAAGTTTACAAACATGTAGTTCATTCAATTATCTTTCATTTGATATCAAATTTTGTCTTACAAACCCAAAAATAATATTTTAAATAATATGTCTTTAATAAACCCGACCTCTCACTCCTTTTCGGGTCCGAATAGCCACTTTGTTATTATTATTATTATCAATTACTTGCCATTGGTTATTCTACGAGATATAGCAGGTTAATTTTTTTTTAGGAAACTCACTAAGACTAAAGCACACAATCACAAAGAAAATCACAAACTAAGAGATAAATGTACCAACATCATTAGCCCAAACTTTTAATTTAAAACATTTGATTTCAAATAGCTGATTTTAGGCGCTGAATTAAACAGTATGGGCCTAATATTTTGGCTTTGGTGAGTTAATCAACTTAAATAACAAATGAACTTAAACTCATTAGAAATATATACAAAATCTGAACGATGATTTAGTAAATAGTGAAAGGCAAAATAAGGCCAGCCCTGTTCCTTAAATTAACTAGGCCAAAGTATGTTTAGTATTGAGAGGGGGGGGGGGATTATCATTTCGTGATATCGCAAAAGCAGAATTTGAATATGTCAAAATTAATTATCAAGGATTGGGGATTTCTTGTTTTCTGTTTTTTTAAAATGATAATTGAACTTTTTACCTACTATAATAACAATAACCATAATCATAATACGGTATATAATAATGTATAATCTAACATATTTAATACGTTTACTCACTTGGCTAGACAGAAGAACTCCCTACCCGTCTATTACGATAGATTTACGTTCAAGAAATATGTCTAATAAAATCGGGTTTCTATAAATTCACTCGTTAATTTCCAAGCAGATAAGCCAATATGTCAGCCGTGCACCTATCAGAGAGCTAGGCGCAGTTTCAATTAAGTCCCACCCTCCATTCAGTTTATAGTCCTTTTGGTTGCAAACAGTCAAATAAGCTGCCATTTATCAGGTTGTGTCTTTTAATGGACGGGCTCCTACTGACATGTGTGGGAAGTGTGGTGGAGAGGGTGGAAAATGTGGGGGGAGGGGGTTGAGGGAGGGCTGGTGAAAATCTTGACCCGCCCTGGGCGGCACTAATCCTAGCCACGGTGGCGTAGGCAAGGGTTGCTAAAGGGGGGGGGGGGTCCGCCCCAAGGGGGGGCTTTTTCTTGAATTGGGGGGGGGGCATTTAAATCTTGACCCGCCCTGGGCGGCACTAATCCTAGCCACGGTGGCGTAGGCAAGGGTTGCTAAAGGGGGGGGGGGGGTCCGCCCCAAGGGGGGGCTTTTTCTTGATATGGAGGGGCGGCATTTTCATCCAACTTCAGAGTTTTGTCCTGGAAGGCGGGCGGGGCAAATCTTGGTCCGCCCGAGCAATCACTGACCCTAGCTAAGAGTCTTTGTTTTGGGTGCACGCTGAATGAAGGCATCTTCAATTAGAACAATATAACCACAAGGTTGCCGACTCCTGTCTTTAAAGCTACTTTAAAACAATACTATTTCCATCAACATTCCATTAACCGGATCTTCTTAAAATGAAGATGTGCTGTTAACAGAACGTATTCTCCCCAGGACACGATCAGAATTCTTTTCACCTGATAGAATAACTCAAATGTAAGGCCAGACATTCTGTTGACATACTCGGTAGTTCTTTGGGTTTTTTTTTTGAATTTTTTAAAAAGAATTTTCAATGGCTCGGTGTTGCTTCGGGGGATTTAGGCCTATTTGCTCAATGTTGGCTCAGGGCTTAGGTGATCTGTGCCCTTGGCTCAGTGTAGTTTCGGGTGATCTGGGCCTGTTGGCTCAGTGTTGGCTCAGGTGATCTGTGCCTGTTGGCTCAGGTGATCTGTGCCTTTGGCTCAGTGTTGGCTCAGGTGATCTGTGCCTGTTGGGTCAGTGTTGGCTCAGGTGAACTGTGCCTGTTGGGTCAGTGTTGGCTCAGGTGAACTGTGCCTGTTTACAGAGTTAGAAACTTTGTAAGCGCCATTTTTTGCGTGCTTTACTGATTAAGTGTGTAGCATTGAATGCGTAAGAATATCCACTACTTCAGAGCAATATTCCAACTCGATCGCAAACCAGTGGCGCAGCTTTCGTTTAGTGACACCCGAGGGGAGCAAAGCTTTCTGCCGCCCCCCTTCCACGAGGAAAATAACCCTCAGAAAATGCCCGCCCGAGATGGACCCCCCACCCACTCAGTACCCTCCCACTGCCGGTCGGACCACACCCCCCCTCCACCCCCTTCTTCCTCCCTGCTGGTAACGGCGTGGGGAGCTGCATAGACCTTGATGGTAAAGGCGTGGGGAGTTGCATAGACCTTGTGTTCAATGGTGCGAGACAAAATCTGATGGTAAAGGCGTGGGGAGTTGCATAGACCTTGTGTTCAATGGTGCGAGACAAAATCTGATGGTAAAGGCGTGGGGAGTTGCATAGACCTTGTGTTCAATGGTGCGAGACAAAATCTGATGGTAAAGGTGTGGGGAGTTGCATAGACCTTGTGTTCAATGGTGCGAGACAAAATCTGATGGTAAAGGCGTGGGGAGTTGCATAGACCTTGTGTTCAATGGTGCGAGACAAACTTTGATGGTAAAGGCGTGGGGAGTTGCATAGACCTTGTGTTCAATGGTGCGAGACAAAATCTGATGGTAAAGGCGTGGGGAGTTGCATAGACCTTGTGTTCAATGGTGCCAGACAAACTTTGATGGTAAAGGCGTGGGGAGTTGCATAGACCTTGTGTTCAATGGTGCCAGACAAACTTTGATGGTAAAGGCGTGGGGAGTTGCATAGACCTTGTGTTCAATGGTGCGAGACAAAATTTCCTGTCCGATTTCAGTGACGTAAAAGCCTGCATTTTATTTATAGTTCTAAAGAAGACATATTTTAAGATAAAAGTGTGTCTGACGGAGAGTGTCATACACACGTTTCATGTTTTAAGGAAACCCCACTGGACGCGCTCGTGGGGGTGGGGGTGGGGGGTGGTGACGAAATGGTCTTAGCATGGGCGTCATTTCAGGTTTTTTTCGGGGGGGGGGGGAACAAAACTTGGTCGGCTTGTTAAGTTGTTAATTACTCGCGGCGTCACAGTGCAAAGCAATTTAAATAAAAACCTGCCAATCTCTGGTGAAAGCTCTAAGCCGAAACTTCAAAAGATTTTGTCCTGTTTATGAATTCAAATTTAGCATACCTTGCTCCTATGTTTCAGGGGCACCATCATGCCCTGCCCAAATGACGTTCCTGGGTCTAGGTCTTAGCTGTTCCGAGCTCAAACTCGACAGGTGACCAGCACCTCTAGTCTGTATAATGATAAGCACAAATCTGAGTAAGCGACTGCCCCCTCTGTATTTGTTTGTCTGTCTCTCTGTCTCTTCTTTGTCTCACGCTCTCTCTTTCTCTCTGTCTATTTTAGTCATTCCGTCTCAGCAATTTGTAATGTTTAATTAATCGCAAAGAAAATTATGATTAAGATTAAATGCAACGCCTATCAAGAAATATCCTTCCGGAATAGAAGTAGAAGTCTGTGTAGGGTTTAGAAAGCAAACGAAACGCAAATATAAACTTAATCCGCTTGTAATCCATTGCGGGACACAGATAACGGACGATCTTGCAAGGACACACCTTTCGCCATAGGCTATAGGTAGCACGGCTGTTTTTTGTTATTATTCGCAAGTTAGCAGTTCAAATTAATAGTTTTCATTTACTTTGATTAGGAACTAGAGATATTATATGATATTTCATATATTATGTAAATTATATTTATACTTATAATTAAGATTTTATAAATCATTTCCAAAGCACTTAATGCTCAAAAGGGGTACGCAATTAGGCAAATTCAAAGAATTGTGTATTTAAAGAGTTGTCCCCTTCTTTCTCCCACATTACAGGCCAGACCCTGTTATAAGCGTAACCAGGTCAACCAACCGTTGATCCTGACCTCATTTAGCCCGTAGCAGCGAAATGTCCCAGCCCAACAGGATAGTCTGCTGAACCGTAAACAAATATATCAGTACCGCTAATAATATACATCTTTGCACAAGTAAAATGGCGACCAAGGAATCTGACGTAGACTTGCAGGAAATTGTTTCCCCAGAAGAAGAAAAGGCTCTGCATAATTTGTTTTTAAAGCTGGATGTGAACGATGATGGGAAAATTGATATGAACGATTTGATAAAGGCGATGACAACTATGCAGTTGCCTCAGGTTCCTGGTCACGCCAAGGTAGGCCTAGAAGTGTCTATACACGTCAGGCTAGGTAAAAACTTTTAAAAAGTATAGCCGTGGCTACGTAAATTTTTTTCAACCGGACCTGCCGGTTGAGAAGGCACATTGTTAATATGATTGTGATTCACGCATCAATCCAGCAATTTCAAACTATTTGTAACTTGCATTTATTTAATTTAATTATTGCATCTTGTATAAATATTTTAAACAAAATTAATACAATACCCAATATTTCAATATATAACTACTTTGTAATTGTAATTTGTAGCATAATCATGGCACGGTGACAATAATGCATTCATTAATTAATAATCAAGGTTCACACATGATGTAAATGTAAGTTAAATATTAAAAGGTACGTTAGGGCCTACGCATGCAGTACAGCTGTGTACTGTAACACACCTACTCTGACATGGCGTGGGAGCTTATTTCTTATGCTGTGGGTTATGTCAGTAGTATGGTTACTTATGTTATGTTGATATTTCAGGATGCCGACTAAGACTTCTTCATTCTTCCACTTATAATCCGGGCACGCAAATAAGAATACTGAATCCTGGTTAAACTTACAGTACTTTATTGAACACACTTTATATTGATAATATTAATAAATAATCCTTGCATGAATGTAATTTCACATATATATCTATAGTATTCCATCATTAAGAAAGACACGTCCTCACACTACTGTCAACTCAGCTCAACTGTCTAATCACACAGCTCTCACGCTACTGACTCTACTGCTCTGCGCTCAGCTCTCTACTATCTCAGTCAACTCATACTTTATTACCAGCAAAGCGTGCAAAACAACCGCTCTGACAAAAACATAATTTTACTCTCCAAAAACGTGGAGTTCACATTTGCATCTCAAAATACATGGTCAACACAATTCACTGTTCACTCATGCTACCTCTCTGTTTTCATGTGAAAACATAGTCCGTTACATGCCCCACCCATCTGAAAAAATTTTGTGCAACAAAATTTTTGGCATTATATGTTGAAATAATGATAATGTCTCTTAGAAAATTTCAATGCCACATCTAACAATCAAATCAGTGTAACAACATTAACATTTCATCATTATGAAATACAGGGCCTTTTACTAGTGAATAATTTACCCTGGCAAAAAATTACAAAATCACCAATGACAACCTCTTAAAATCTTTATGTATGATAATGTGAAGTGACATTAACATCTTAATGAATAATAAACACTGCAAAATGAATGTAACAACCTTAAATTTTGCATTAGAAGATTTACAATTGGTTAAAATCTGATATTCATTTACAAAAATTGATATGTACAAGTGTCTTATCAAAAAACGGTTGAATCTGTATTTTAATGCTCTTCATGCTCAATTTAACCTTAATGTTATTGTTATTGTCTATGCAAAAGTTGATAACCAAGAATGTAAACAGTTTAAAAAATAGTTCTGTGTAGACAATTACCATATTTGAAAAAATGTTGCTCTTGACAACTAATATCTAATTTAGCAGAAAGTGTTATGCTAGGTTAGCTAAAATGTAATGTTAAGTATTTCTCCGCACTGAAGAAAATGATAATTGTGATCTGTTATCTCTTTGTCCATCTCTTTCCATAAAATTGTTATTTGTAGTTGTGTAATGTTCTTCTTGAAACTTGTTTTCTCTGTCTTTGATTTCATTATTGAATTTTTCAGCCTGTCTATATTGTTGATGAATGTTTCT